CATAATGAAAGCAAAGAAACCAGATTTTTCTCTTTGCAAATATTGTTTTTTGGTTTATTTATTTTTTATCGTATTTGTAGTAAATTTCTTTGAGGGTTACGTAATGTTGAGAAGGGTTTTTGAAGGCCATGAGAAACTGCGACGTTGCTGCTGCGAAATCTCTCTCTCTTCCTCATCCTTTTTAACTATATTTTGCAAACTCGTCCCTCTATGTTTTACTAGTCTATTAATTCACCTTTTACTATCTAAATTTATTTTTTCAACCATGCCAAATCACATAGCTGTAATCCAAGTTGTAGAAATGTACTATAAATAGATTTCTTTTGGTCTTAAAATTATCAAATTTATTTGTTCTTGGGTAAAAAAACATAGGTACATTTTCCCTCCAATAATTTCATCACTAATGAGTCAACGTTTGATTTTCCTAAGTGTGCCATGTTATCTTATTGAGGGTAAGAAATGCATGACTGATAAATTTAATGGCACGGCTATGGTTTAGGCAAATATGTTTGGTAACTTTGTAAATTAGCAAAGTAACAGATCATTATTAGCTGCACTCTGTTGTTCTGGTGATTAAATAGTACCGGAGATCTGTACCGTCGGATGATGAGAAAATATTGGCTACTTTGACTCTCTTGACCTAAATCCTACGACTAAAAACACGCATGCTTCTTAATTTTAACTATAGAAAAATGAAAATAATAATAACACGTTGTGGGCCCTTCCTGTTTTTGACTTATTTCATTGGTCACGAAACGAAACGCGTATCTTTCTTTCACCCTTTGGTAAGGAACTTCTTCTTTCCGCTGACTCGGCTCTCTTTTAAATTGTTGTTAACGGAAAACTTAAATTATCTAATTAATTAACTTTACTTAGTTAACTACTAACCTAAAACTTTTCCAAAGAGAACTTTAAAGCCGTCTATCATTTTTTGCCGTTACATAAAAATAATAAAATATAAACATGCTATTTCTTAACCGTTTTACTACTACCGATTTGACCTATCATGTCAGATTTGGACCGACCAAAATTTAATCTTATATAATACTATAGTAGTAATGTTTCTCAAAATTGAAGTGATGAGAGATTGCTATGTGTCACATTCTTTTGA